CGTGCCTGCTCTGTGGACCTATGCCAAAACCGACGATGGCTTCTCGCCCACTACCTTCTACGTGAGCTGGAACGGCGCAACGCGCGTGAAGCACTGGCGTTTCTACGGCGCCACGAACTCGACCGGCCCCTACGAGCTCCTAAGCCAAGTCGACAAGCAGGGATTCGAGACCATGTACACCAACTCGACCTTCTACCCCTGGTCATATGTAGAAGCAGTCGACGGCGAGGGCAGAGTCCTGGGCAAGTCGCGGAACCAGTTCACCTTCACCCCGTCACCGGACCTGCAAGGCTATTGCGCGGATGACTTTTGCATCAAAGCAGACTCATACGGCTTACCTGGCGAGGTCGACCCGGAACCGTTCATTCCCCCTGTGGGAATCAACTCCGTTCCTTGGATAGACCCTGACCACCCAGAATCGCACTACAACCTGGGACAACCCGGTGCAGCAGCCCCTACATCCGCTCCGCAAGGCGCCAAGGGGGTACATGGTAAGTTCCTGCTTGCAACTGTGTCGTTTGGACTAGCTACTGACTATATCCTACCACAAGCGGGATGGATCGTTCCTGCGACCGTGGTGGCCCTCGCGGCGATCGGGGTGTTTTTAATCCTCCGGGTCAGCCGCCGACTGCGGCATCTGCAGCGAGCAAAAGAGCGCGGTTCATCCGAGTCCTTACACGAGCAGGAAGCAAAAGCTTCAAACGGTGCAGCTGGATTGCGCTGGTGGGACTGGCGACGATGGGTCGACTCGCAAAACGAACCGCATCATTACTTTCCGTTATCGGAACAGAGGCCACATAGGCATGCGGATTCATGATTGTCATTTAGATAGATACCCAGTATATAGTCGAATTAATGGTATTGTACTTTTGTACTTATAATCATCGAGTCCTCGCATATCAGAACCAAGCGTGTACGGTACGATACACCTTGCCAAAAAGACACATCGTCACAAGATGACAATACACATACCGAACGATGACAAGCACAGGATTACGTATGGGATACGCGAACTGACTGACTCGCGCACTAAAAGCTGACGACTGGAGACGCTAGTCTAGCTGTACACGGACAGATAGAGGTTGCAGGGCATACGTAAGTCCATACGTAGTCTATCTGTCTACTTTCTTAGGACGAACTACGAATGTAGATAGACCACAATGATGGAGGTTACGTTGAATTGACGACTGAACAGTGAAAGCTTGATTGTGGCCAGGTTGGCAGTCAAGGATAAGGTACGACGCTGTTGAAAGTGAAACGCTGATGGAAATTGTAGTGTAGTCTGTAACAGATAAACAGCGAGAAAAAGCAAAAATAGGGCATGACCTCACCTGACCTGCCAAGCCTCTGCTCCGCTAGTTTGACCCATGGGAAGGAGTCATTCAGGAACCAGAAACAGGAAGGAGAGCGAGATTATGAACTTGCTTAAACCAGCAACTCCACCCAATTGCCAAAACAACTGTGTATATGGGCCATGGCCATATGTTGATCTTCTTACAGGGAGCCGGACCCATTGGTGTCATCCGGCCATCCGTCTTCCGTCGTCTTGGCATCCCTCTGTTTTTTTCTTTTCTTTTCTTTTTTTCACTTACCTTGTTTGTGGCTAAATTGAATATAATTCGTGCAATAATTAGGGTAATTCACCTGTTACAGATTCAATACAGTTGCTGTAAAAGGAGGCAGGTTTCATCATGGATTCAGATTCATTACCTTAGCCACAGATGGACTCCCTAGGTAGTCAGTAACTATGTAAATGTCAACACCAGCATCAGCATGATATGTATCTAGTCCTTATGGAAACATTATTCTGTAGTTAGTCGACTGTGGATAACTCTGTCTAGATTTCTGGTTTACTCCGACTTCCGTTCTCTGTACAGTAAGGATTGTTGGTGATGATTGACATCCGTTTCATCTCCTTGGCTTCTTGGAGTACATTGTGGTCAAAGGTGACTAGTTTTCCTCCTCCTTGACAGTCGTTCTTTTCTATTTCTTTTCTTGTAATGTTATTTGGTAGCTTTTCAATTGTCACTCCTCCTGTCTAGTCTATCTCTCTTTGATTCAGACTATCTGTCATTCATGTTCTGGCTGAATCGTCGTCATCACAAGCACTGCGCCCCTCTCCTACTGGCGTAACCTTTTTTCCTTCGGCTTATCCTATTGTTTATACTAAGTTTCTACTACTTATAATTCCCAGCCTGTTGACGTAGGCTCAGGTCGCCTGCATTGGCGCCCTATCGGATGAACCACGCCCTCGATGTCTGTGCCGGTGCAGAGAAGAGCTTCCCAAGGTAGCCGGCGGCCCTCCGTGACCAGCGTTTCGTCCACCACCCCCATAACTCCAAGTTTTACGACCTCTTTTACTACCACCACCAGTAATCATTATTCTCACCAACAACAGCATCGGGATGCCCGTCATACCCGGGCCACTTCTTGGACTTCCGGTCACGATCAAGGCGGCGAACCTTCCTTTGCCGATTACCCTTCCTCTGCATCTCACTCACGGCGGCGGCGCGAATCCAACCTCTCTCTCGCAGACCTCACCGAGGGCTCTTCCCCCTCTTCCTCGCTCTCCTTCGACCACCCCAATATGGCTATGAAGACCACTTCATCAGAATGGAATCGAGGTCATGCCCGCACTCGCTCCCAAAGTATGGCGCAGATGAATGCCTTCAAGGCTCATTCCACCGGAGCTGCCGCTCCCCGCCCCGGCCCCGTCACCTGGATGTCCCTGCCTAGAAAGAAGCAACTGGTCCTCCTGGGTCTCTGTCGCGTCTTCGACTTCTTGCAGATCGCCTCCTTACAAGCGTACATGTTCTACCAACTCAAATCCTTCGACGAAACCCTCTCCGACTCCGACGTCTCCACGCAGGCTGGCATCCTCCAGGGCGCATTTACCGCCGCGCAGTTCGCGACAGCAATACCATGGGGTCGAGTGGCCGATGCGGAATGGGGCGGTCGCAAATTTGTACTGTTGGTCGGGCTGGTAGGCACGGCGGTGTCCTGCCTGGGAGTCGCCTTCTCGACGTCGTTCGCGCAGGCCGTGTTCTGGCGTTCGTTTGGCGGCGCCATCAATGGGACGGTGGGCATTATCCGCACAATGATTGCGGAGAATGTCAAGGAGAAGAAGTACCATTCTCGCGCTTTCTTGATCCTACCCATTGGGTTTAATATCGCTGCTTTGTTTGGTCCAGGTGAGTCGTTTGTCCTCCAGTAATCTTGCTTGCGATGGACACTGACCATTACAGTCATGGGAGGTATGCTTGCCGATCCGGTTAAGAGTTACCCCAGGCTGTTGGGCCCCAATTCTTCTTTTGGAGGTGCTTCCGGTGTGCAGTGGCTCATGAAATACCCCTATGCGTTGCCCATGCTGGCCAATGCCGTTTTCCTGTCATTCTGCGCTACGTGTGTCGCAATGGGCCTTGAGGAGGTATGGATGGATACCCTGAAGATGCAAGAATCCTACTAACCCACCTAGACTTTACAAGCCTGCAAGGGAAAGCCTGGCCTGGGCGCTTTTGCCATGAAGCTTTTCGCCCGTGGTTTGAAGGCCGTCGTTCCGTCTTCGTCGCCCCTGTACTCGAGACTTCCATTCTCCGACTATGATGAGGAAGGTCCGCTGCTGACCCGATCAATCGATCCTACCGAAAGCTACGAGCTTGAAGAGAAGGCGGCCAAACCTACGAGGCACGTTCGCGTGCTACCGTTCCGACGAATCTGGACAAAGAATGTCCTGTGCACTCTCCTCGCCCAGGCCTTTTTCGATTTCCAGATGGGGTATGTATCGATATCTCTACATGTAGCGCGCACTGTTACTGATGATTGCCAAGTGCCTTCAACAATCTATGGTTGCTTTTCCTATCCACCCCTCGCTATGATTCCAGCGACCCTGCCAGTCCCGTTCAGAGACTACCCTTCATTTTCACCGGGGGCTTGGGTATGTTGCCTCAAAGCGTTGGCTTCGCCACAGCTATCCTCGGGGTCATCGGCATGCTCCTCCAATTCACCATCTACCCTTCAATTAATGGCCGTCTGGGCACAGCCAAGAGCTACCAATATTTCCTGTCGCTCTTTCCTCTGGCCTATGCTTTTGCCCCCTACATTGCTCTTGCGCCGTCGTCCACGCCCCCTCCAGGACAAGCCAACGGGCCCTGGGTGTGGTTCTCCATCATTGTCGTCCTGTTCCTGCAAGTCTCCGCTCGAACATTCACACTTCCGACATCAATTATCCTTCTGAACAATTGCTCACCGCACCCTTCGGTGCTCGGTACGATTCACGGTATCGGACAGTCAGTATCTTCGGCGTTTCGAACTATCGGGCCTATCTTTTCCGGAGCCTGGTACGGTTATGGTCTGGAGATAGGCATGGTCGGCTTCGCCTGGTGGCTAATCGCCCTTGTGTCCATCTTTGGATGCATAGCAGCGATCTTTGTTTATGAAGGCTCCGGCCATGAGATTCTGCTCCCGGGAGAAGAAGAGGACCTCCGGTAACTTTTTTTGCCTTGTTTATGAATCTTTCGTTTCGATTTCCTTGTCGTGTACATATGTTTCGGCACATGCATAGTCCGGTGTCCTGTGGGGTTACCTTTTTCTTGCTCATACATTTTCTGCGTCTCGCTGGGTTGATCGCCTGACTGGCGGCATCGTGTGCCCGGTGTTGGCTTTATTGCTTCGTTGTCTCATATTACCTTTGCTGCTTCATGCCGTGGACATTCTTAGCTCCTCTGTCTCATTTGGTTGGGATTTTCTGGTTGGCTTTGGGCCTCTCATGCATGATACGGCAAAAGCACATATTCACTTGGCTTGGAATGGCTAGATCTTATAGAATAGGATGACTGTATCTAGATAGATACAATAATAAATTCGTCAGATATCACTCGCAGTAGTAAAGCGCTGGAGCGAATGGCTACAAATGTAGAAAGCCCTCAAAAGCCGACGGCTCATCAACAATTCATCAATCATTAAACGTGAATTCTCGCTGAACGAATGAACCAAGGTCATAATCACCGCCGCAGTGCCGCAAACCGTCGAGTCAACTCATCCAATTCTGGTATTGACCCAGAACCACCCGCATTCCCGTTCCGCGCCCTGGGAGGCCCCTCAACCTGCGTCTCGGACTGGGTCTCGCTGCCGGGAACCTTGACACGCGGATTGGGGTTATCCGACCGCGGCCCCGGCGGCGCAACACTGACGGGGCTCTTGACCGACTGGAACCCCCGGGGCGGCGTGGCCCTATTCAACTCCGAAGTCTCGGAAGCGCGCCGCGCCTCAGCCATGTTGACCGGCCGGGTTGGCGTGGAGGGGACGGCAGAATCGCCATCGCCATCGCCATCGCCAGGCTGGTCAGTATCACCAGGCTGATCACCGAGAAACTCCGGAGGTGCCTCGCCGAGCTCGTTCTCGCTCTGGCTCTGGGCCCGCGCCCCCCACGAACTCCCATACGCCCTTGCAATCTCCCTCAGATAGCTCTCGACGAGCTCCTGCGTGGGTGGCTTCACGCGCAGCCCCTTGACCAGCCGCTCCGGCACCCTCACGTCAACCAGCTTGTTGTCCTGCGCCAGCGTCATGAACTCCTTGCCCCAGCGCTCGGCGAGCATGCCGCGCAGCATGGTCAGCTCGCGGACGTCGTGCGGGAAGCGCGGCCACGCGTAGAAAATGACGGCGGCGGCTTCGTCGAGTGCGGCGTCGATGTAACTCGGGGTCTGCTCCTCGTCGTCGTCGGCGGCCTCCTCCGCCTCGGTCTTGCGCCCTCTTCCCGGCGTGCCCTCCTGACTATATGTCTGCTTCTTCGACCCGGACCCTGCGAAAAGAGAAAACCCCAGGAATGACTTGGATGCTGCGTCGGATGCACCCTGAGCTTGAGCGTGGCCCTGAGCGTGTCCGTGGCCGTGCGCCCCCATCTCCGCTTTCAGGGCCTCCTTGGCGCGACTCCGCGCGCGGGCGCCCTTCTCCCCGAACGCGAGCTGATCGACAACGTTGGCCCGCGCGAGGAGGAGCTCGCAGTACAGCTCGACCATCTCCATGACCTCGACGGCGATGTCGGTTGCGATGACATTCTCGACGCGGATGCGGGCGGAGGACTCGCGGCCTTCGTCGAGGAGGGTGGCGAGTTCGCGGCGCTGGATGACGGACGAGGCGGTATCTTTTTTCTGCAGGAGACGGAGGCGCGGTATGAGGAGGCGGAGGGTGGAGGTTAGTTTATTCTTTTGATTTTGTGTTAGTGTTTGTTATCTCATTCTTGGGAGAGGTGCGGTTGATGGAGTGGGATGTGCGGGGTAGGTCAGGGCTGCAGAGTCTTTGTTTATAGCAGAGATTCCGGGGCGGAAAGGGGGAGTGTAATCTTATTCTGGTAAGACTTACTGTCTGTACTGAAGGAGGCATTGTGAGCTTGGATGTTGCTGATCTGGTTGTGTTGGTCCTGGATGGGCTGAGGATGTCGAGGCTGGCGGGTGTCAGGAGTCTCTGCTGATAAGTTGATAACTGACGGCTGCCTCCACTCCATCCATCCACAAAAAGACGTTCATTACTGCAGCTTGATGAACAAGCTATAATAGACCTTATTTGGCTAACTGGTCATTGCACCTCTAGATGTTTCTTGATCATAAGCAGCAAGACAATGCTGTTTGCAACGTCCTGCTCAATCTTTGACCAGTCGGTTGCATTGTCGTTGCGAGTGCAGGACACAACCGCAGTGGATGCATCTCACCCCTCGACACAATGATCAATGGCTTCAATTGCACAATCCCCCTTGAGACTGCGGATCTGAGATGGTCTCACCCGTGCAAACCCTGCTAGGATCTCTGGCTGGGCCGACAATGAAGCCTTGTCACGGGCGATTGGGTGCTGCTCAAAAAGCCCCACGCTGGATCAGACAGCGCCTCAGAGAGTCTAATCGGGGATTATTTCGAATCTCCGATTGTAGACGCAGGAACTGATCCGGTTTTCATTGCTTTTGGGCCAATTAGGCTTCGCACAGCGCCAGTCGGGTGAAGCCATCCAGGAGACCCAGGCCAGGATGTGGAAATAGAACTCGGCGACAACGAATAGAGACACGAGCCCACGGCCGCTGCCATCTATCCGAGTCCAATACTGCTGTACCAGGGAGGGGTCCAGATAGTGTACGCCTTAGCTAGTGATTGCACTGGTATTCCATATTTGTCATCCTTGTCGACGACGGAGTTACAGCTTCATCCGCTATCTCCGAGGGTTCTGGCTTCAAGGTGTTGTTTAAACCCATGTTCGGCTCCTGCATTACTGCCTGGATATCATTGAACTAATTGACAGCAACATCTTCATCATGGCGTCCAAAAAGCTCACCTGGCTCATCACCGGCTGCTCCTCTGGCTTTGGTCTCTCCCTCACACGCGCGGCCCTGGCCGGCGGCCACAAGGTCATTGCCACCTCGCGCAACCCTTCCCGCGCCCCGGAGCTGGTTGCTGAGATTGAAAGCAAAGGGGGCAAATGGGTCCAGCTGGATGTCGACAGCGCCCAGAGCGGCGAGGTGATCACGGAGCTCGAGAAGGGCGGCGAGCAGATCGATGTCCTGGTCAACAACGCCGGCTACTCCATCTACGCGCCCATCGAGACCATGACTGAGGAAGAGACACGCTCGCTGATGGAGACCATGTACTTTGGCCCGCTGCGTCTGATTCGCGCGGTTCTGCCTCATATGCGCCAGCGCCGGTCCGGCGTGATTGTGAACATGAGCAGCGGGGCCTCGCTCGATGGGATTCCCACGATGGGCGTCTATGCGGGTGCTAAGGCTGGCTTGGATGGTATGCATCTTTTCTTAAAACGTTCCCAAGGGCAAATACCTAACTGCAATAGCTATCACCAAAATCCTCGCCAAAGAGGTTGCGCCGTTCAACATCCGCACCCTGACCGTCGTGCTGGGGACGTTCAACACCAACATGCCTAACTCGGTCGTCCTGGGCAAGACTCCTCTACCTGAAGACTACAAGGGCACCTTCACCGAGCAGGTGCAGGGCCTTCTTGTGAGCGGGAAGATCAAGTTCAACGGTGACAAGGACAAGGCCATGCAGGCCCTTTACCAAGTGGTTGTTGGCGAGGGTGTGGGAGAGGGCCACGAGACAGAGAAATTACTGCCTTTGGGAACCGACATGACTCCTCGTCTCAAGGGAGTGCAGGAGTATCTCGGCCACGCCTTGGAGGTGTTTGGTTCCGTGACCAACAGCGTTGATGTAGATAAATGAACGTCTATTCGGATAGCACAATATATTACTGTCTCTAAGCTAAGCAGCCTTTGGTGTATAGTGATTAGGTCCCGGGTATTCTGACCTCAGACTCTAGCTAGTATGCGGCGGTTAAGAGACATTAAGTATGCAGGGTGCAAATCCCGAAGAATGAGCTATGACATCTAAAGAATGACAGCTATGAAGATGCCTTAAATTCCGACATGGTACTCAAACACATTTGACTTGTGTTTCAGCTCGTTTTGTATCCACCCATCGTCAGTCTCCTAGACTAGAAGCTACCTTGGAGAAGTAATAACATGGATATATGCAAGCGTCACATTGCTCCAGCCTATCATGAACTAGCGAATAATAGACATTATCAAAATCGGATATCAGCTCACTATCAAATCTCAGAATCAGCAACAGCATAGCAGATCATGCATTCCAAATCCCCAAGTCAAAAGAAAAACTGCTGATGAGCAGACAAAGTGAAGAATATATAATATAGGCAGGTCAAAGGTCGTCAATATACAGATAACATCAGTCGTCAAGAATGGTATAGTATAGTATGGTATGGGTTCAATAGGACCAGGGTATCCCGAAGAAACGAAAAAGAATTATAAAGATCGAGGCACCGAAGAGATAGTCCACGGCTAAGCTGGAGCTGGTGACGGCAATAGGAGGCACCTGCAGCTCACTACAGGTTGATCATGATCGCCGCCACGGCGCCCATGCCCAGAGTCAGCACGGAGACAGCAACATCGGCGGCGCTGCCCTCCTTGTCCTTGGAAGTAGAGCTGGGAGTGGCCGTGGCTTGTGAGGAACCAGCCGTTTCGGCTGCCATGGCCTCTACTGAGACTGACTGCTCGACGAACACATGGGGCTTGTACGTGTACGAGAATGCCCCTGATTCCGAAGGCTGGCCGGCGCTGGACGCCTTGGCCGATGGGGTAGGGTCGTCGCTGGCAGAGGGCGTGACGGAGGCGCTCAAGCTCGAGTCTGTTTCAGGGGTTTCTGGGGAGGGTGACGAAGCAGGAGTCGACGTGCTGGAGGATGTTATGCTGGACGAGGTGGTTGTGGTGGTCGAGCAGGGCTGAGAGGTTGTGGAGGGTGCCGCCGTTTTGGTGTGGGAATCGCCGCTGCCGGACTTTTCAAAGACGACAACGTTGGCCTTTTCGCCCTTGGGGACCGTCACCACACAGAAGGTGGCGCCTCCGGCTCCAACGGAGGAGCTACCGATCATCTCGTTGACCGCGTTCACCTCGGGGTCGATCCTGCATGGAAGGCCGTTGCAACCGCTGCCCTCGCACTCGATCTCGACACCAAACTCTGGGACGACGTCGCGGAAGGGCGTGGTGGGCTCCAGATAGATGGGGTTCCATCCGATCTTCACGAACGTGTTGCCATTACCGTCGGTGTTTGCGCCAGCGACATAAGGCGACCAGTTACCGAGGGGGCTGGCAGAAGTACCCCAGACACACGCGGTCTCAGTGTCATAGCCAGGAGGGTTGATATAGAAGCTGGCAACGGTCAATACGAAATAGAGCGATTTATAGCCGACATGAACTTACTGAGCGGCGGTTTCACACCAGTAGCTGAGGTCAGGCACGGCAAGTGTAGCCACTTCCTCGACCAGCGTGGGAATCAACATGGCCTCATTTCCAGGCAGCACAGTCTGGCAGAACGCAACGTGCTTGCTGCACTTATTCTTCGCGCCCAGGGCGCCCGTGCCGTCCTGGCAATACGGCTTGTTGGGGAATGGCTTCTTGATCTGACCGTCCTTGTCGCAATAGAGACCGCCATTCTAGCACACGGAGCACTGTCAGAATCTTCCTGTCGGCATGGAGCCACCGTTGCAAAACTCACCATGGATACGGGGTACGAATACGAGGTCGCTTCGGGATCCCACTGCATCGACACCTGGCCGGGAGGACAAGCGTACGGGCAGTAGTTGCCAGGCTCGCAGGCCTGATCGGGACTCATCGCCCACCCGGCGTTCTTCATATTCGGAGTCACAGCGACTAAACCGGCATCGGAGGGGAACTTGCACTTCCCTCCTCTCTTCTCCAATGGCGCTCCCACTTCAGCAACGGAGTGGATGGCGCCGTGCTCATGTCTCAAATGGTGTAGATGCGCATGCTTGGATGCCTCGACGCTGGCGACGAACCATAGCAGCGCAGATGCGCCGGAAACCATGTCGAATCTCATCCTGACGACGTTGTTCCTGTATCTCTCCGTTATCAAGGTGATGTTGCGGATCGAAGTCCAATTGAAGTCGAACTCCACACTCCGGAAACGAAAGACTAGGGTCAGTAAAATAGCAATATAACGAGCGACTACTCCGAAGAGCGAAAAGGAAGGGAACCACCACCGGATAAGGAGAGAGCGGGATGGATAGAGAAAGGAGGGAAAACGGGGAATCAACGCGAGCGAGGAAAAGGGACCAGCCCTAAGCCTTAACACGAGCACTACTGTGGACTAGGCTATTGGCCCATTTTCGCGCCGACTCCAGACCCCATGAGTCGGAGATGACTCCGTTGGCGCTACGCTAGCAAGTCGCAAGCAGCGAATGAGTCGTGGTACGACCCATCGATGAAGCAACGGACTTCCCGATTGGGATACTCTCGAGGCTATTTAAAATCTATGCCTATTCGGGCTGATGGCTGATCCTGCAACCCAATCACAAGCTGTCCTGCCCCGGTGGTTCATGCCCCACTAGGCCCAGTGGAGTTAGCCGAGGACCTGAGTACATTGCTAGCAGCCAATCAGAAGCCGTGCGTCCCTGAGGCTACAGGGTCTGTCCTTAGCATGATTCTGATCCTGATCCCACGAACGCTGCTGCTATCGCTGTATGGAGTACACCGTAGATACTCCCGTCTGGCTATTACAAAGTACAGCTATTTATTTAACCGTACCTTGGTCGCTCTCACATCTACCACGCAGCTTGATCAATTCAATACCTGGACAGTTTACTCTCTCCGATGTCACCTAGTCTAACAGGAGTAGGGATTTTCCTTTTGCAAGGCCTAGACTTGTCAAGCTCAGTGATCAGCAGGTGCATTGACAGATTTACTAACAGGCACCATTAAACTTAATTGACATTATTCAAGTTTTTCTCTCCAACCAAACTTTTCTGCTGGTGCGGTTTGCGAAAAGGGGGCCAATCGGATAGTAGGCTTCTGCACA